GGGGGGGAAATGGCCACGGACCACGCAGCAGGGCGGAAAAACGGTTGTGGACCACGCGGCACAGTGGAAAAACAGCCGCGGACCATGCGGCAGGGCGGAAAAACAGCCGCAGACCACGTGGAACGGGCGGAAAAATGGCCGCAGACCACGTGGAACGGGTGGGAAATGGCTGCGGACCACGTGGCACAGGCGTAAAAATGGCCACAGACCACGTGGAACGGGTGGGAAATGGCCATGGACCACGTGTCATGGCGGAAAATGGCCGCGGATCCGGTTCGTAACCCGAGGTAAATTTTTGTGGCCGGAGCTGGTCGCAACCCGAAAAGTTCATTAGCAGAGGCGTTCGTAACCCGAGATACCACTGTATTTGCAAATTGAACCATGCAAAAGTACACTCTCAGTTCCCAGTGCTTAAGGCACAACTCATCTCTCCTGAAAATACTGTCTTGTTTAAGAATATTATAAATGCTTTGCTTATAGTGAGATCAAGATATATATCTAGTAGCATATTTCATTTCAAGAATCTGGGTAGTTAGCCAGCCCTATAGGGTCCATCATCTGCCTCCTGCCCATCATGTAATAATACTCTATTGTAATGGTGTGGTCTCTTTGCAAGAGCCTGGAGATGGGAATGGGCCCCTGACTGGGTCCATGAAGGGGTCCCTAGATCTACAATCCTCCTGCAGTCTCCTTAGCCCTTGGGAGAGCCTGTTTGGTGTGTTGCCACCATCCATCTTATTCAAGTTCAAGGATCTCTTTGTGTTAGTTTAAATCACAAAGAGCAGAGTAGGAAAACAGCCCTACTTCTTTTTCTCAGTAACTTAGCTTGACAGGGCATGTTCTAAAGTTAAAGACCTCTCAGAGTGAGTGAAAAGTAAAGTTCAGTAAAGTCAGACTTTTTATTATGTATATTAAGGTTAAGGAACTAAATGATAGTTGAAGACAATGGAGAAAGGGACAAATTATCATGACTCCTGCAGATTTTAATTCAGTTGCTAATCTTCCAGGCAGAAATATGCATCCATACATACACACAACACGGATAAGGAATAAGGATGCAGACAAACAGCTCAGATCAATCTGTAACATAAAGAAAGCTATCATCTGCATTAGCTCCACATTTTCCTAGGTAGCTATTTTCTCTTGCTTCTCCAATTTTCCTCTGGGCTGGGCTGCTTTTCTTACTTGGCAGAAACTAGACTGAGAAGAGAGCCCCTTTCTTCTTGGGATGAAAGACAAAAGTTCAAAAGCAAAATTAGATTTCCCTCTTTTCTGTTTCAAAGCCCACCTGAGAGGGGGAGTTGAGCCTTCAACATTTGACTTTCCTGAGCTCTAATGGACTTTGCCCGCTATCCAAACTGACAGGTCAAATTCAAATTTCTCCTTAACGCTTTGGATGAGGGGGTTAGACTCTTAATATAAGGTAATGTTTGCGGCATTCAAAATACTGTGGAACTTATCATAAGAAAGAACTTGTTAATTTATCTGGTTCCATATACAGCAGAACACAGAGGGGAAATACCTGTATCAACAGATAATGAAGCATCATTCCCCTTTTGTCTGGCCATTGGCTGTGCTGTAGAGGACTGATGGGCAATGAAGTCCAACAAAATAACTTAAAACTATAAAAACAATACATTGCAGCATGCAGCGGTAGGAAAAAAAAGTAACTAAGTTGTAAAGCAGAGGTTGACAGCATTTGATGGCCAGAGGCATACTTAACATTTTTTAAGATCCTAAGGGCCACAGTGGGTAGGACAAAGATTCTAATTGGGTGGGGCTTTTTTCCTTGTTTCAGGAGTATTTTTAAAAAATAAACTAAGTTAAGCCTATTGTAGAACTTTTATGGCAGTTCTCATATGGCTTCTTTCTTTAATATGCTGAGATCACAAAGAAGGAGCTGAGGGCTGCAGATTCCTCCTCTGTTATATATCATAAATTTTTTTTAAATGGCAGATTTTAAAAAGTAGATTATGATTTTAAGGCTGTAAATGTAATTTTAAAAAATCTGCTAGAACATGAAAGTCATCAGACTCAACCACCTTTCATATTTTGATGAGATGGCCTGGATAAAGATCTCAGTGGAGATTCTTAAAGTTTAAATAGGTCTCTGGAGGTGGAACCATTTTGCAGGTAACTTGGTCCCAAACTGCAAGAAGGTTTAAGGATTAAAGCCAATACTTTGAATTGAACCCAGAAATGGCATAATTTTATTGACATAAATTTTCCATATCCATGAATAATCATGCAGCTATATTTTGTAATAGATAACCTTTTCTGGACCATTTCCATTCTTTCCAAGAGACATTTATAACTTTCTAAAGCCAGCCTCACATCCCCCCACTATTATAAGGCACAAAAGGAAAGACAGAGATAAATGGTCATTTAGATTCAGAAACCTCCTCGACCATATCCTCAGGTACCAATGACTGAAAACATGTATTAAAACAGGAAAAAACATTGTTCTGGACTTCTCTGCTTCCACTGTTATTTTCAGAGGATTTGAGTGACTTGCAATCATGCCACAATGAGCTATCAAAGATTCCATGAATCTTTCCCTAGACCCAGTTGCAAAAATTTATGTATCACTCATAAAGAGAGGTATTATGTAATAAGAGAGGAGGGGGGAACCCTTCTTTGTAACCAAAATAATGAGCTCTATTGGGTGTTTGTTTATACTCATCCTGAATCTTTTACCTGATTCAAACCTCCTTTCAGCTAGCTTCATGGTGGTAACATAACTCTTTACTTTCTTCTCATCTGTATCACGCCATGCGGCTGTTTCCTACATAGAGATCCTTGCCTGCCTGCCAGCCTGCCTAATCCTCCCTCAAATGACATCCTCTGGAGTGATTTGCAAATTCCGTTTCAAGGAACCATTTCCCAAGAGTCAAAGCCATATGTCATTTTATGTTTCTTAAGTCAGAAGGCATCTGTAACCAAGCTATTTTTGTTAAAGAAGGGTTAGTTTATTTTTGCCACTTGGGCTGTTTCTGTATTTAGTTGAGTATCAAAATTGAAAGTGCAGTGTGTAAATTGAAAGTGTGAAATGTTTGTGTGGCTTATATCATAATACTGTAAGATCTTATTTAATTTTGTTTTGTTTTAATGCAAGATTATGCCACGTTTTCAAACAGTGCTTTTTGAGTGCCTGTAGCCTCATTGCCATCATCTCGATCCCTCAAATATTGATGGCATGTAGAGCATCAGGAAATGGAATTCATAGGCCACATTAAATTACCGCAGTGTGCCACATTTCTAAAGAATAAGCTGTTAGTGCACATTGCCCAGTTGCTCCCACTTGGCTCTTCCTGCCAGTAGATACAGCTGACATGCTCCGGCCATGGTATATTTAGCAGTATGTATGAACTGGGAACTCCTGACTTGTTTCTTTAAGTCAAAGTCATAAGTTGTGGCTTCATCTTGGCTTGTGAATCTGCTTGTTAGGAGAGAGACAAGCCACAGTTCTCTGTTCACACTTAAGGCTAAAAAATAAAAGAAGAGTCATTTGGGTGCGTTAGCAGTCACATTCCAGATTGGAACTGCCAAGCTAAAACTGAACAAGCTGGTACTCTTAACGCCCAACGTGAAGAACATGAAGTCACTTCACAGTGGAAAATTCCTTCTCAATATTTTCTGGACAGCCACAGGAATTTTTAAGTGTCCCTATGAGGAGGAATCAAGAATGACTTAACTTGGTTCTGAAAAATTTAACATGTTTTTATACTTTAAACTATGCAAACCAGATAACAACAACATAAAAACTATTAACCAGTTCATAGTTTAATGGCCACCATGCACAACCAGGTCCATTGCCCTCATGTTTAGGTTGCTGTCATGTTTCAGGTATGGAGAGAAAGATTATAGCCTTCTTCCAATGTTACCAGTGGCTGGTACCTAATGTATATTGTCTGTGATTCAGGGGGTAGCATGGTGCAATCAAAACTAGTATCCGCTAATGCCCTAGTCTAGCCCTTTTTAAAAATTAAATTAATGGCCATCACTATCTGTGTTGTCGGTGAATTCCGTGTGAACATTGGTATAAAAAAGGAGTTCCTTTTATTGGTTCTGAAATTTCTCATATTTAACTTAAATGGATGAGCAGGAGGTCTAATATTGAGAGTAAGAAAAACTTACCTCTGTTCACACTCTCCATATCTTGCATGATTTATACACCTTTTTCCCATCTCCCCTTTGCCCACTTTCTTTCTAGGCTAACCCCTACCCCCCACAACCAATATAACATTTTGCTGTAGAGAAACATTTTCTTCAATTTTTTAAGTGGAGTCATCAGAACAGTATGCTGTTCAATTAATTATGAGAAAAATAACAAACCAGCAGCAACATTAAAAAATACAAAATGCTATGATATATAATAGATAGCTAAAATTGAAAACAACATCTGTAGAGAAGGATTTGAATAAATTTCAGCATAGAGACTAAACATTGGAATTTAGAAAACAACAAAACTTATTTTATTGTCTTTCTTCATTTGCTTCTGCTTAGTTTTAGAACACCTTCCTCTTAGCATTCTACTTCTTTCTCCTTAGAGTCCAGGTTGCTCTTTCAAAATTGTAGAATCAGTACAGAATAAAATTGGCACCTTAATCACTGGATATATTTGAGCAGTTTATAAGTTGTGTATTTTTCAGGTGCATAATGGTTCTAATTATGAAAATACAAGTGGTTTTTTTAACTTTCAATTCCATTTAAACACAGTGACCTAGCAAAATATGGGTCACATGCATCTGTCTAGACAGATTTTTTTAACTTAAAAAATTGTCTCTTAAACATATGCTACTTATATGTCTGTCATACTTGAGAGACAAAAACAGCTAAAACATCTGTGTTACAGCTGTAGAGAAGGAGGCTGTCTTAAAGCTGAGGATCTAACGTATTACCAGTCAGTATATTTTATAGAGGGGGAATTTGCCTTTGCATGTACATATAAAACTAAAGCAAGTTTACTTTTTAAGTTCACCATAACTCTGTCATTGCAGGCATTGCAGTATCTCACCAAAGCATACAAATGTGAAATCCAATCAGGAGACTGGGATAAAGATACTTTCTCTTTTAAGAAAGTAGCCAGAGATGCTCTAGAGCTTGCACATGGTATGTCCTGTATGAAAATGTTGATATAAGTCATGGCTGATTACCTATTTCTGAAGTTCCTTTTATCAGAACAAGCAATAAACATAATATGCCATATACCTCAATATAATTTCCAAGTTGAGGGAAGGGGAAGTGAGATGTAGCGACTATAGCTGAAGTAAACATTATTTTGGCCAACCTTGCCTGGGATTGGAAGCTAAGCAGAGTAGGGCCTGCTAAACCTTTTTGTTACACTGCCCTGAAAACTGCATCATTTTGACTAGGTAGTCATCATAAGTTGTGCTTGACTCAAGGGCATCTTTACCTGCTTTTCTTCTGCCACTTCAGAAAGAAGCCTTCACTCAATAAGCAGTAATGAAAAGGTTGAAATTAGAAGTAACTCCTAGCCTCAAAAAGTTGAGAAAAGAGCACACAGGTGCTCTGGAGACCTCTCTCATTATTAGTAACAGAAGTTACACGGGGGGGGGGGAATGGATAAAATATATAGTTACTCCTGATAACCAATACTCTAGCACACCAAATCAAGGTATTGAATAACTTTATTCTTTACTTTTTTCATTTTCTTTACTTAGGCCTTTCAGGTTTTCTAGAGTTTGCTGAGGTTTTAGAAACTGAAATCTAGTGTGATCACAGAGCTAAATGTTGGCATATTGACATCACTGCATAGAGATTTTGATTTGTACATGTTTCAACATCAGTTCCAAATCGCATTTTTAAAAAGTGGAAACAACCATTAACTTAGGCGATCCTAGTGTTCTAAGGCACAAGCTAGAAATGTAAATGACCATCTGATTCTGAAAATGATTGCATTACATTTGGTTTTCTCTTCTCATTTATAAGCCTTTATATGAAACTTAATACCATGATGTAACAATGATAGTCATGGATGTCCTGACAGGGCAGTTGACAAATATGCCTCATGACATTTCAGTGCAGATTCTGCCCCTTTTGTACTTGCATTGCAGTGTCACATGCAAATACTAAGATGCAGAGCATGCGTGTCTTCCCATTTTAATGAAACCTCAGCTTGTTGCAGATGCCCCAGTGACACCTCCAACCATCAGAAGCCAGTGCTATGCATTAAGGATGCAGAAGCCCAGAACATTGTGCTACCCCACAATGAGGGAAGTGGTAGATGTTATAGAGCAGACATAAAAAACTGGATATTCAGTGCTGCTTAGAGCTCACTGCCTTCATCTTCAGACTTTCTAACTTCAGAATACTGAGAACAAAATGAAATCATCTCTGTCCCAATTCAAGTTGCCACAGGTCCTGCAGTAATCAAAATCTTCTTAATCCTATTAAGGGGATGAAATAAAACAAATGGTTTGCATCTTATTCCATATTCTGTATTTGTTCAGTTGTGTGCAAAAAATAAATAATTAAAAATCCCAGCAGCTCTGAGAAGAGAGAGCATGGAAATGTGCACCTCCAAGCTCTATTGAGCCACAATGTTGGAAGGGAGGGAGAGAGGGGAGAGGAGAGGAGGAAGGCAGGCTAGTTTTACACCATAGCAGAGCTAGATATAAATAATCTCAGCTCTTGAACACATTTGATCGCAGAGATCTGGAGTTGTTGTTGAACTGACACAGGTTTCACATGCAGAAGATCAGAGTATGTTCGGTAGCTGTTGAATGCTCTGACTAGCTTAACTCGCTAGGAGTTAAAACCAACATGGGATGGGAAAGACAATGAAGTATTGTGAAAGAGGACATGGCTGATTGGAAGAATTACAAGGAGTATTCCACACTGTGGCCTTTACTTGCAGAATCCATATACAATACTGTGAAGCTGACACTTAGGTAGCCAAAACAGCATCATTTATGAACCATAGTGAAATATTAACTGGCATGATAGTTTGCACATTTTGTTAAAAGACAGGAAACATATTTCAAGAGCATTCAATGCTGGCTCTTACAGAAGAGGACAGGGTTGGCTGGAATTCTGAACAGGGCCATTGCAATGTTTTGCTGCAAGTATGCATTATTGTATGCATTATTAAATAAGATATGTAAAAATAAATTGTTGCATGTCAGCAACTTAGACTGCAACTTTAAACGTGATCACAGAGCTCTACATTCCAATGATACTTCTGGACCACATGTAAAATCAACATATTTTGGGGGGAATTATTGCTGTGGTGTCAATAATTCCTTTTGTAATAACAATTGCAGGCTATTGCCTTATTTTTAATGTTTGTATGGATCCCTCTTTTAATGAATTAGGAAGATTTTTCTCCCCAGAGAAAAGTAACTGAGAACTAAGTAGTGATTTATGATAATCATGCTCTTACTGTGATAATCACCCAATTTTGTTTTGCCTTTTAAAATTCCAGTGGCAATGAAATACAGCAAAATGAAAACTAATTACCAAGAAGCCTTGCCAATACTCTCTTCTGCTCGACTCAACTTGCGTGGTTTGGTAGCCAAAGCAAAGGTGAGACTGAGATGGGCTTCATTAAAGGGTTCTCTGGAACAGAGAGAGAGATACGGCTAATGTTTTCAAGAGCTAACTCTTGCACTCAACTTCCTGCACTCCAGATACCTTAGGAATATGAATCCCAGGATTTCTAGTTAGCATGGCTAGGACTGGCTAGGAAATTGGAGCTGTATCACAGCACATCTGGAGGGTCTTAGGATGGGAGGAACCGCATTACCTCTTCTTTACACTGAAAGGTGGGGTGGAGGGGCAGCCCTGTTTTTCATAATAAATCAGTTTGTGAGAACGGTACTAGAGTCAATAGCTACAAATGCCTTTCTGTTGTGTATCTCTAAAGAACAGGCTGCTTCTTAAGAAAGCAGTTTTGAATGACAGTTGCATTATGACATTTGCTGCCAGCAATACTGCAGAAACGCAATAATTAACAGTTGTAAAGAGAAGGGGTGGAATGGTGAGATGAGGAAGACATAACAGTGGAAGAACTCCTGGCACTGCTCCTTTAGGATATCTCTTAATGTGGTCTCCCATGAGAAAAAAGTAGAACCATTTGGATAAAAGTAGAAGTGAAACTCCCTGCGCACCTACAGAATTGTCTAATACTGGCCTGTTGAGACTAGGAAGGCAGATGACAAGAGGGCCCACTCTGCTCTGAGAGCTGAAACTACACTTCTTAGCCCCATAATCCCAGTCTGCTCTGACCTTTGGTTAGGCTTGCATATGACTTTGACTGAGAATGCACAAAATAAGAGAGGTTTCTGAGTTCTTCTCCAGCTTTCCTCAGTGTGGCCAGTCAGAAACTTCATGAAAATTAGTTGCCACAAGATTAACTCACAGAACATGGCTTCAGCTGCAAAAGATGTGAGAGTGCAGCATCCTTGCATTTGTTCATGATACATCTCATAGCTGTCGCATCCCATCCATTTTTGCCCAGCTGTCAAATGTTGCAGGCAGCAGATGCAGGTGACCTGCAATCTAAAGTTACAATGGAAGAGAAATGACACCTCTGAAGCTTGCCATAGTTTCTGCTCTTCCCTGTTACACTTGCTCCTCTTTATCCACTCGTCCAAGGGGGGAAGAGCTAACTGAGAATGCCTGATTCTCACTTCAGGCCAGAGGGGATGATCACTGCCACTGATAAGGCCTACTAAGAGGTCCTTGTCCAGCACTTCCATTATGGACCTTTTGGTGCCCAATTCTGTTATTTTTAAAATATGTTGTCTTTCATTCTTTTGAAATGCTCAGAACTTGGCTACTGAACAGTTTACAAAGACCGTGACTACATAAACAAGGAGATTAAAGCCCGGACTTTAAAGCATGGCTGCACAACTTGTAGACCCAGGACTATGTATGTAGTCTCCAGTGTCTTGGCTATGATCCTCAGAGTTCCCCCAAAGTTGTCAGCAAGCTGTAATTGATAGAAGGGGGAATTAATTATTAATTTTCAGAACAAATCTTATTAAAATCTTATTAACTCTATAGAGCAAATGTAATTTAATTTTGAATGTAATGTTTGCCCTGGCTTTGTCCACTGTTTCTTATAGCAAAGCCCATGGTATGTACTTCAAAGCTATGTGAGGTCTTCAGCCTGGAAAACAGTTTTGCACCCCTGCTTTACAGAACAGATTACTAAGTGCTAGTAATTCTGAAACTTATCCAAAGTGTATCAAGAAGACCTTATTGCCCAAGGCTTAGCACTGAAATCTCTCAAGAATGTGTTTTGAAAGCTAGCCCTACTGTGCCTTGCAATGGAGTTCTGTTCTTTTTTCCTCATTTTTTAGAATTTTTGTCTGACACAAATGTTAGAATCTGCTTCATTTGGCTTGCGGATTGAAAACTGACCTAACTGTTCCAAATAGATTAACACTGCATGGAGAGATGTTCCTCATTTGTCACCCACAGAGGAACACCAGCATGCTGCCTTTGGAAAGGGAATAATCCCGTGTAGACGCCATAAAGAAATGAGATCACTAAAGTTATGGAAATGATTGTGGTTAGAATTTTTTTTAATCTTGTGCCTTACTTAGACTAAAGTTTCCAGTAAAAATTGCTTGTAATTTTCTTGTGTAGCAAAATTTTGCAGATGCTGTGAATGGTGAAGTTTCCAGTGACCTTGCTGAAGAAGTGGCAGCAATGGAGAATTTGATGATGGAATTGCAAGAACTTAGCAACCAGCTAAGGAATCAGACTTGAGAAAAAGAAGATCCGATTTCTTGGAAAGACAGAAGGGCATGGCTGGCATACTTCTCTGGTTATAGCTTGTGCTAACAAGCATTCAGTAAATCAGATACCTAAAGGCACCTTTTAAATAAATACTTCTCCATACCTTACAGCTATTAATGGTTGCCAACACGGTTTTCTGGTCATATTTGTTCATTCTCAGTTATATGTAATTTGCATTGGCTTGGATTTCATGGAATAAATTATGACTGGTTTTTATTTAGAAGCCCTTTTTTTCTTTAAGATTAGTTCTTCCCCACTGCAAAAGTAGTTGGGTACTGCTCATAGTTATGCACTTTATGACTATGAACAATTGGAGAGTTCTGTTCATGGTAGAAGTGGAAAGAAAAGGGCTATTTGATTTGATTGTGTCAGCAGGAACATGGAAATATGGCAGGGGGGAATAAAAAATGGAAATGACAGCCTTCTGGAATATTTAAAGCAGGAGGACCAGTTGTGTTTTTCTTAGCTTGTGTTTTCCAAATGCAAGTGTTAACACACAAAGAATAGGCATCTTGTTCCTAGAACAAAGCAACACCTAGAGAGTAGCTTTCTCTGCTGCAGACCATGAACCTTCATAAGATCTTGCTGAGAAATTTTGCACTAACCATTTTCAAAGCAGAGGTTTAAGAGTACAGGACCACCTATGGCCTCACTTCCATAGGAGTTGTGTATGTGTGTGTGTGTTAATAAGCATGGGTCCAGCAACACCAACATCAGCAGCTTTGCCTGGGCTGGGGTTAGATGCTAGCTTTGTATCTTCAGTCATCTAAAAATGGAAGATAATATCTCCTTTGTTAGACTGGTCCATCACACTAAGTCCTGATACAGTTTGCCAGGGGTTAGCGTATGTGTTTGATATGTACTAAACCAATTGTGACTTACTTAACAAAAGATGGGTAAATTTTGATTTAGTGCAAGAACGTGCGACTTCCATCAAAAGTGGATTGGGTCAGGGCTGGTGGGGAATTTTAAGGGCAGTCTTGCCAAAAAAACATCTGATCTGGAAATCTATGGGAGCCGTAAAAGGGGTAGAGTCAGGCTGCATGCATCCCGTAGCTGTAGTTTCTGTAGCTCTGGCTTTGTGTGAAAACTCTTCCTTGCTTGCGTGATGCAATGATTCTACTTATTTATCTCTGACAATTGATCTTCTAAGATATATTGCTGCTGAATGTGAAAATGTTATGCTATTGTAATTAACAGCTATTAATGTATCCTCTTTGTTTAATCCTTTTTGAATGTTACAGAAATATTGGCTATAATTATATTTGTGGGATCAACTTTGTAACTTGGTTTTGCATTATATAAATAAGTAATTCTTATATTTGTCCTAGATTTACTATTTGTTCAGAGAATTTTGTATTCATATGCTGTCCAGTTATTGTAGCTCAGTTGCTTTTTTCTTTCATAGATCAAAGCCCACAATTTATATTGATTACTGAATTGTTCATTCTGTATCTTCTGGCTGGTCAGAGAGTGGGACTCAGCACACAATGGAAACTTGTCTTACTTTTAGTCTTGTTCCCAATGAATTTTGACATGGGATTTGTCTTTTCTGCATGGGCAGCACACTGAGTGGGTTTTGTTTTTGTTTACAATGCTTTTACTGTGATCCAAAATCTTTACTAGCAATTGTGGTATCCAAAATTGGCTACACAGTCCTAGGGCATCTGTAAGTATGCTGCTAGAATGGGATTACTAAGTGTGATGAGCGCATTTTGATGCTACATCACACATTATACAGTAGTAAGTTGGGGTGTACAGTACAAGGATATGTTGTACCTACTCTGTACTTTGTGTTGGACCATTATATTTGCTCAGCACTGGCAGAAGCTCTTCAAGGCCTAAAAAGAAATCTTATCTGAAATCCTTTTTACTAGAGAAGCCAGGATTAAACATGGATTGAACCTGATGAGGCAGGTATGCATGTTGCATGTTGCACTACTGAGCAGTGGTCCTTTCCCTCATTAGTGTCACATTGACATTTCTCATTTTTAGGTGCACATGCACACACTATGTACTTAAAGAAAGATGAGTGATTAAGCCTGAAATAATCTTATTTGCAATTAGCAAGCTTTTTTTTCTCCTTTTCTATTTGTCCTCAGCTTCTGGATGTGCTACAGTATTTTCCTGACTCAGGAAAGCCACATAAGACATCCTGCTATTTTATTTCGAAAATGGAAGTGAATAATTCCATCACAGAAATAGAACATCTAGCAACTGTACAGGAACAGTCTGTTGTAGTTCTACAGTTCTTTGATAATCTTGTGTTAAACAGGAGAAATCAAATCAGTGGAATTGTTAGTAAGATTAGTCAAATTATTTGGTTGTCTCAAAAACTGGTTTTAAATGCCTGTAATAACAGAAACATGCTTTGTAAAACTGCTGTAATGATGGGTTGGTCATGAAGGAAAGTAGAGAAAATATTTGATAATTTAATCTAAAAGGTGCTCTTCCAGTACATCCACTTTCCAGGTGTTTAGGACTAAGATGACACACCTCATTTTTATGAATGCTTAATACAAAACTAAATTGGTTAGGAATCAATATATAGATGCAAATATCTATCCCTCTAACTTGTTTTTAATCACTTTGTGTGCCTGGTTCTTAAAGTACATGAGCATATCCTGGCATGATATCCATAGGACTCTTGAGATGCACTGTGGATTTTGACTTGACATTTGTGAACCTGTGCAGCAGCATTCATACTGTGTTAACTTTTTGTGAATAATTAGATCATGAAATATGCATTGTACGTGCAATTAATTTCCAAAATGACTTCAAGATATTCTTAGGATAAAAAGTCTGAAATATTTAATGAAAATTAGTAGAAATTTGTAGAAAATTAGTAGGAAATACACTTTATGCTCTTCCCCTTAATTGAAGAATTGAGGCTAGTATTACAAAATTTCAACAGCTGAAATTGAATATATTCCTTTGCAATATAGGAAGCCTTCTCCATGAATATTTAAAATAATATATAAATAGTTCAATCAACAAGAGATTCAGGCATGATTCAAATGTTGTAGTACTACTCATTACAGAAACATTTTTGCTGATCGTTCCTGATGATACTAATAAAAGGCTAGAGATACTGTAATGCTAGTTTTTATTCAGTACCTATTCTTTGGGGCTAATAATAATTGTTCAATTTGGATTTTGAGCAAATGTTCCTATAAGTTGATTTAGTTTGTTGAACAGGATGCAGAATGGGCATCTTTTTAGTTGTTAATTCTTAGAAAGGTATATTAGATTTTAGTGGGTTTCATAAAGCTTTGGAACCTTTTGCTTAAATAAATAGTAGTCTAAGTATTAGTATATTGACCAGAAAAAAAAGTACAACAAAATGTGATCAAGGCAAAGCATCTGAAACATTCTTTATAGCCAACAGTAGTAGTAAAATTTCTTGCCTGATTCGATTCCTGTTTTGTCTGAACCACATTTTCTTTTAACGTGACTGACTCTTTTGGCTTCCAGATAACAGAGAACAGGAAATGACAGTCACAAAGGTGTCATAAAGGTGGTAGACTGGTCCCCAGCTAACTGGAGCTACCTTAGTTTTGTTATCTGGTGCTGGATCCCTTGATAAATCATTCACCTTTAGATAGTGTTAGGCTAGGCACATTGTGCAAACATTCCTGATATTGTTTGCAAAAATGATGATGTTTCATAATCATTGGTGAACTCATTTTTTTTTAGTAAAGTTCCAACAATAGAAGTATGTGTTATGTAAGTCTACAAAGGAAGTAGGACCATTTCCTCTTTATTGTGATATAATGGTTTTAAATCTTTCTCACCTCTGCCAGGAATAGGCATTGAGCATGATAGTTGGTAGGTCATTGATGCACAAAAGTTTTAAAGGGGGAGTGGAAAAATGTGCAAGAATATGGCTATTTTTGTAATTTTACATTTAAAAACACATCCATGAATAAAAGCAGTTGTTCAAAATAGTATTGGTGAAGAAATTGACCCACAAAATGGATTTAATTAAATGTATATAGCATACTTGCATGATGTAATTTCACTCTATTAACAAGCCATTAAAAGCCCAAAATAATTTATTGAAAAATTGCCATTAATTACTCATGTTTGAAATCTGCAGAACATGGTGATTTTTTCTTCTGGAAATGGAATCTAACTTTGTAATTCATAAACTATTGAATAGCTGTTTGTCTCTGAGGTTAATATATTTATTTGAAGCTTTTAATAATTTTAAAAAGTAAAAGCAAGTTATCACGAACATGGTTAAAGAGAACTTGTATGAAAGGGGTTCCCCCCCCCCATTTGTTCTTATATGAAAAAGATGTTTTATATTGCGTTAGATGAAAAACCAAACCAATGGGCAGGTAAGAACTCAACATTTACTATCAGCTTTATGGCAAAAGCAGTATAATCCTGCCAACAAACTCCTCCATCTTACTATAGGTGTGGGGAAACCCATTCATCCAATTTTGCAAAATATAACAGATTTATTTCTGTTTACCATGTCTGAGTTTGCTCTTCAAACTGAGATCAGTAATCTCTTAAAATGCTTTATATGTTTGGTTCCCTTGCTTGTTGAATTGCTTTGTGTATCTATCTTTTCCAACACTGTGATGTTTACATTCTGAGTTCTTAATAAAGTTCCTGGGGAAGGGTGCAGAGCAGAAAGGAGGAAACTGTAGTGTGTAACTGTCCCAGTTCCTGAGCAGTAAAAGACTTCATCCTAATCATCATAGGACAAAGTGGATCACAATCTTACTAGACTCAGGTTTTTCCATTTCCAGAACTACTTCCTAACATGATTTGGTGAGTTCTATTTAGAGCAGAGGCAGGGAATCTGTGGTCCTTCATCATTCATTGTTGATGGAAATTGTAGAGCATCATGGGTTCATTAACATTGATGCGAAGCCTGATCATACACAAGATCATACTGTATCTGTAGTTAGCTGAACTACCTGACCCTTTGCTGAGATCAGGATTATTCCAGGCATTAACAGTTATCCATTTGGAGACAGGGATGACTTTTTTAATGCCATCTAGACTGGCTGAAGATTCACTTTCTGTTAGAAAATGAATTACAACTCAGGGTCTGTTAAGATTGGGGTAGGTTATAAATATTGCAAAACAAACTTTGTTTTGCATTCCTTGGAGTATCATAGAACTGAAATGGGTCATTGGCGCTACTGAGTCCAAACTCTGCTTAATGCTCATACCCAAAGCAAAGCACTTCCAACATGGGTTTAAATTCCACATGAACATAGTCAACAAAGAGCAGTCCACCCCCGATCTGGCCAATTAGTTTCACTGTTGAACTGCTCTATTAGGTAGTTGTCCTTATTCTACTCTTGCATGTTCTGTACTATGGAACAATGGAGATTTGTGTGTGAAATCTTTTCTGGTATTTGAGGAGTGTTATCATATTCCCCCAGAATCTTCTCAAGGCCAAACATTCCTAGTTCCTTCAACCATTTCAAAGGATTTAGTTACTAGCTCCTGATCATCCTCCTTGCCCTTCTCTTAAACTCCTGCAGATTCTTGAATGTTTAGTTTGGTGCCCAGAATTGGATTAAAAGTTCAAGGTGCTGGTCTTACTATGGAAATATTACCTCCCATCATTTGGAAGTTATATTTTTGTGGGTGCACCCTTTCTGTGATGGATTTACCTTTGCAGCCACATCACACTGCTGGCTCATATAGTTTGCAGTCAACTACTATTCCAAGATCTTTTTTTCACAAGTTCTATTACCAAGCCAGGTATTCCCCACCCTGTATCTTGGTATTTGATTTCTGATTCCTAAATGGAGAACTTTTCCTTTGCATTTCATACTATTGCTTTCTGACCACTTGTTTAATCTACTGTTCCATCAAATGTTATTATCAAATAATTTAACATATCTTTCCTCTTTTCTCCCAATTACTCAGATTGTGCTTCTGCAAGGACCTAAAAGCTGCTTCTGAGTTGCTGTTGGGCAGAATATTTTCTACAAGGAAAATTTTTAGGCATTTCCCTTTAAGGTCCACTGGCAAACTGTTTCATTTTGCTATCCATTCAAATTAATAGACCCACATATGAAATTGCTATATATCTGTGAGTACCTTAGCAGATGTTGGGACTACCTAGCTTTTTTTCAGCTGGTTTTGTGAACCACAATTCATCCCCAATGTAAAATCAGACTCAGGGCCTCCCCATAATAGAAAACTCAGCCAGAACAGATCCTCTGGTGAACAAGGAGACAAATCCTTTGTGCTCCGTCTCCTACATCTTTGACTTAATAATGTTTTAAATTAAATAAAGCTGTGGCCTACTTACACTCCTAAGACTGATCTCTGCCTTTTGCTTGCCAATTGCAAAGATCGTCTGTGGTTTTCAGTTTCTTGCCACCTGAATATAATTTCCTTGCCTGCATCATCACAAAAGATGTTACAGTGACATGCAGCACACCCTTTTCTTCCCTTTAGAGCAAACTCTTGTGACCTGCAAGTCTGAGTCATTTACACCATCCCTTGGCCAAAAACCAACATCATGAGCACTGCAAAACTATGGCTGGCAAGATACTGCAACAGCTAGTATAGTATTAATAGTGTTAACGTACTTGCTTATATAAAAGAGAGCTGGAATATGTACTGGCATTACAGCTAAAACCAATGAGTATTGGGACAGCTACCATTTCCCCCCAGATGAACTACATATTTAATCACAGGGTACATCCAAACCTACCTTTTTTTTTTTTTTTTTATGGCTCCTGCATTCATCACACTCTCACTGCCATGATCATTCTGACTTCTATCAACACACAGACATTTTCACTTTATTTCTGGTTATGACAGTCGTTTGTGGCAACCTTTATGCTACGTATCCAAGGTGCCAAATAAAAAAAAACTGGGATGGGCAGGTTGTATTGACCAGGTCTCCTGAGGCTCATGTTCTCTTTTATTTGTCCTCCTCCCAAAAAGTAATATAATGCAGTAACAGTAGTCTTTAGTGAATAAAACATAGGAGAAGTGCATGCACTGGAGTCTTCAGAAATAAATTAGACCCCCACCACCCAACCTGGAGGAAATGCAAGCTGTCATCAATCTGGAAGCATTTCATTACAATCGTTTTAGGAGTTATTCTGAAAAGAAGCCACCATAAAGATGAAGGCCTTACTGAAGGGTGTGGACCATAATGTATCATGTTGGTCCAGCATGGGTTAGTAGGTAGATGTTTTTGAACTTCCCAGTCACACACACATACACACTCGCAATGATAATTAACCACCCAGGATGGGGCAGTAGAGAATTTCACTAATATAAAACAATCCTGTTTCATCCACTGCAGACCAAGGATTTTGTTCAACCTCCAGTATAAAGGTCATGGATTCTGGCTTAAATATTCATGATTTTATGCCCAATTCCTACAGCATGCTTAACAGGGCCAATATGGGAATTAATGTATTATGACCCCCACCCACCCCCAAGTGTTAATTGACCTAGTTATTTGGGTTAAATTTCACCCTAAATCCCAGTCTTGTATAAAGTTAAGCTAGCTTGGTCTGAGCAGTTGTGGCCGAAGAGCATCTAATCCTATGCTTTTTAATTTCCTCCCTTGGTTCCTCCCAGTGATCTCAGACCAGCTTTGGGTGTTGTGTTCATTACGGAAGAGTGAAGATGGGAACTTTTATGTGTAAGTTTCTCCAACAAAGCTGTAGTTTTGCTTTGGAAACTTGTCAGCATCTCCCAGCGTATACTGCCAGAGAAGAGGATGCCAGTTCCAAGCCCAATTTAATTCTTTTTTTGGGATCAAGAACAAGGAAAAGGGAGGAAATGGTACTCATTTGCTCTAGGAAACTTCTGGCCAATCCTAGCAACATCCTAGTGTTTGGTTGGGATGGGAGCAATAGGACCAGATATTTAGGCAAACAGGAATGCTTTTACCCATTTTCTGTATGCTTGAAGAAAACAAAACGTTGAATAAGTACTTCAATGGAGAAATACATTTCTTTTCAGAAAGAAAGATTCATGACTGATCATCTATTTTTATCGTTTGTGCCAGTGCTTCTCTTGCTAATGGCATCTGTAAGATCACAATGATGCTTGGAAGAATAGTCCAATGTTTCAGAGAAGATGTATTCCCAAAACTGGAGCAGCTTCTGGCCAGTCCTAGCAACTGTGCCATCACCAGAATAGTCCATGAAGCATAGTATATTATCTCCATGGCAAGATTTGTGTTGGGAGAAGTGGAAAAACACTACTTGTAAACTGGAACAGCTAAAAGGGGACATGAGGATGAGCCCATAGAGTAGGTCATTATAGTGAAAATGTTGTCTTTTAGGTTGTGCTTGATTAATTTGGAAAATGGTTTCATAACAGTCTTATGACCTGATAAACTAGTGAAACTTAGCTGGCTTAGCTACAGTGCTTTCAGAAGTTTCAGCAGCAATGTGAGTATTCCCAGTTTTCTTCCAATTATTGGCAAATTCAGTTAGGCACTGCTGATGCTGAAGGAGATGTTTTACTAGCAACAGCACACCCGAGTACTGTGTTCTTGCTCTGGATGATGTGTCAATAAGTGGTCTACAAGGAATACAATCTAGCAAAGCTGCTGTAGGTTGTAGTGTATTGTTAAATTATGCAAGCTAGTGTTGCAAATATCCTGCACTTTTTATTTACTTATTTTAATTTGATACTAACTAGTGTGTGTGTCTGTTGGACACATTTTCCATCACATCAAGAGGATGAGTGAAAGCTTGGCTTCTTTGGCAATCTACTGGGAAACAGTTATAGTTTTCCACAACAGTGAACAGGCCCTGAAATTTACAGGGCTTCTTTCACAGCTCTTTACAGATGAGACACGGTCCAGAGTTCTTTGTGTGGACTTCCTGTCTTCCTTTTCCACTAAGTTGTCCCAACTACAACAGCAGCTGTAATGCAGGGTATATACAGCTCTTGTACCATATTACAATCCCCAGGCTCCTTTGGGGCTTTGCTATTCCTGTTAATCTGCATTAGTTCCTCCTTCGCCCTTCCTAAGACATGTAGGATTCTTGAAAACACTCATGCTGCATACAGGATTTCTAGAAATTTCTGTTTAGTATAGACTCTTAGCTCATAGAAGGTAACAGAGCCCAAGGCTGAAAGAAGGCTTAACCCCTAAAGAATCTCAGGGTTTATAACTG